CTGTGGAGGCGTCTTGTGCCGAGGTCCGGCCGCAAGCTTGGCGCGCCCTGTCCCTGCGAGGCCCACGCCGCGCACTAGTTAATTAGATTGATGTAGCTCATGGGAAGTTACATTCAGCATCGGCGATGCTGGATCCCTTGTCGAAAACGGGGCCAGTGTGGCATAGTCCCGCTCAATGTTGTTTAATCCTGCTCCATGATGCGCAATCTTGGTGTTACTCTGGGCTAATCCCGCTTAGTGCCTTGCGAATTTGCCTTGATAGCGTTCAGCCGTTCTTGCGTGGGCCTCCAGGACCTCACAGGGAGCGTGACGTCGGAGGGAAGGTGCACGTACTCCCCGTTGCGATCAGCTGGCAGAGGCTCTTTGAACATTTGGCAGGTACCGTATTTCGTGCGGAGATCCGTTCCCTCCTCTGCCGCAAACAAAGAACACTGAACACGATGATGAGCGTGCCATCTGTTGTCCGTCGTTTCTCCGTGTTCTCGCTCCTGGCCAAGAGCGGATCCAGCGCAGTCGTTGTGGAACAGAAGATGCCGGCCCTGGGTGCGTTGTTGACAGGATTTGTTGGCGAACGCCCGCCGTGGCGACGGCCTCATGTGAGGCGACAAAATGCAGAACGAAGAGCGGCGTGTTTCCGATGATATCCGCGGCTCGGTTGGTTTGGCTGCGTAGCAGTCGGTGGCGTTCGGTCGCTTCGTCAGCTAGGAGGTCACGGACCACAGAAGGTTCCGCTCGCCTTGGATTGAACGTGTATTGGCGAATGGCGCTCAATAGGGCCAAATAGCGCCCAATAGCGCCAGGTAGTGCCGCATCCTTTTTGAAATGCCGCCCAGTATCATCCGACGGCGCCATGTGGGCGAGATGCATTACGTCCGCTTCGCGCGCTATTGGGCGCCATGGGGACGACCAAAAGCTTCGCACGTTGCTCTCCAGCAGTCGATGGCGGTCGGTCGGTTCGCGGTGCTGTCTACTTCCTGTCGGTTTCGGTCTCGTGGTTTGTCCGGCTGTTTTTGGTGACCGTCATCGCCACGGCTGGATTCGATCCAGGAGTGATCGGTGGGCCGACTTCGAGGGGGGAAGATGAGGAAATGGAGGAGGAGGAGGAGGAGGAGGCAGAGGACACGAGACCTTCAGGCTGTCTGCGGCCTGTCGGCTTCGGTCTCGTGGCCTGTCCGGGCGCCCCTCGGCCGCTCTGTCCGCCGCAGACAGCCACGGCGTCGCGTCGGTGGACTGCGATCGGGGACGGCCGGGGGGTGCTCGAACTGCGATGGGGTCCCAGGCAAAATCGATCAAGAGGGGCGACGTCAGAGGCGAGAGTCGGGCCGGGCGAAAGGGGGGGATTGGGAAAGGGGGGGTTACGAAATTTGCTGCATGCAGCTGGTTTCGGCCTCACCGAGGGGCCCATTCCTCGATACATAGCCGCTTCCGGCGCCGGGAGGCGCCGGGAAAATCAGCTACGTGAGCTGATTCTCAAACCCCCCCCCTTTGCTATCCCCCCCTTTCGCCCGACCCGAGAGAGCGCGAACATCACGCCAGACCCACGAGCGTCACTTTCCAGCTGTGCGCCAGCGTGGCACCGCGGGCCCCAGCGTCTCTCTCCTTCGGACAGCCGGGGCGGGCCGACGAAGGCACGCGCGCAGGGCAAGGGACAGAGGCACGGGCAGGGCGGCGAGCGAGCCAGGGCGGGGGAGAGGGAGGGAGGACGACAAGAAAGGAAGACGGGGAAGAGGGGAAGAGCGACGGGGCCAGAAGATCGCACAAGATCTGTTCCCGGACCCCTCCTGGGGTCCTGGGGTCCATCTGGTGCAGTTTGTTCGCCCAGGATCCGTGTTCGACGGCACCGCAGCTCGGCAACGGCCCTTGAAGGGCGAACAAAAAAAAACAAAAGCGTCTCGAGCCCAGCGTTGGCCAGGACCAGCGCAGTTGGTCGGAACCAGTTCTTGCCCGCCCTGTGTTGGCCAGAAGCAGTGTTGGGCCACCTCACCCATCGGTCGTTCAAAGTAGGTATTTTTGGATTCCCAGAACCCAATCTACTTTCAGCGCCTTCCTACGTCAAAACTCGCTCTGCTTTTGATTCGTTTCCTCACTCTCCGGGCGGGCCCGAACCCAATCTACTCTATCCGCCTTCCTACTTAATGTTTCTACCCCTATCTTCCGACCGATGTGTACACCTTAGGCGATGCTTAAGAAAACTTAAATTTTCGGCCAGAGTCTCGTTTATTCTTAATGTTTCAATGTAAATCCTAAGATTTGAATAGAATTTTTGGGTTTTTATTCAACTTCTGAGACTATGAATTTCTCAACCCATGATTTCTTAAGCATTTCGCAGGGTGTAGACCCCCATGACGGCTCCACGATTGCGAGACCGCACTGTGGGCGTTGGCGGCGGTGCCGCCTGGCTCGCGCGCGGCGCCCAAGGCAGGGCCCGAGCCGCTCGCCGCTCCGTCGGCCGTGCGTGGGGGTCGCCGCCGTCGCCGCTCTCCGTCGACGCCGTCGCCGACGGCGATGGTGTACAGTCGGCCCGGATTAGTACACCTTAGGCGATGTTTAAGAAAACCCAAATGTTCGGCCAGGGTCTCGATTATTCTTAATGTTTCAATGTAAATCCTAAGATTTGAATAGACATTCTGGGTTTGAATTCAAATTCTGAGACTATGAATTTCTTAACCCATGATTTCTTAAGCATTTCGCAGGGTGTAGGTCGACCCTGCCAAATCAAGGGTACGTTTATGTCCTGTGCCTCGCGACCCATGCTTCCTGCATTCCTATGGCAGCGTGGCCCTCGGAAGGGTATTTGCGTCCTCTCGCGTGCCCCGTCCAATCGGGATCCGACTGTATGTCCGTGCGGCTTAGACCCTCTTGGAAGGGACGCTGCGAGGCCGAGGCGCACTGGATATGGATAACAAAAATCGTGCCCCCATGGGGCCCCGTCCTTATCCGCATCCAGGGCGCCTCGGGCTCCTGGGGAAGGGATCCCGGAGCTCCAAGCTGCACTGGATCTGGACAAGATTTGCCTGCATCGTAGTCATGCAGATTTCACGGCCTCCGTTAGATTGTTTGTCTGTTGCATTCAGTGCGTATCGGCTGATAGCGCCGAACAGCACGCACACCGCTCCCCCCCCCAATAACGCTCCATCGCACCGAGCAGCACCCAACTGGCGCCCAACAGCGCCCAACGACACCACGTGAGGGTCCATCACGTTCGCTTTTCGCGATATCGGACGAGCTCTTGCGAGCCGCGGGGACGACACAGTTTCCGTGAGCTGCTTTCGAGTTTTCCCCTCGACGTCGAAGGTCATGCAGACGTCCAAGTCGAAGTCCAAGTCGTCCTTGACGTCGTGCAGACGTCGTGGCCTTCGTGCCCCCTGGGAGCTGTGGTGGGCCTCCAAAGATATCCAGAAACAGCACCAGCGTGTAGTCGTCGAAGTCGACGTCGAAATCGAGGAGGTCGCTTAGATGTTGCGGCCTTTTGGCCTCGTGTTGGGCCTCCGCAGGCCTACGGAGACAACGTCTCCGTGTAGTCATCGAATTCGCCGCCGTCGTCGCTGTCATCGCCGTCGAAGTCGAGCAGGTCGCGCAGATGCCATTGCGTTCACACCACCTGGTTTTGATTGTGGGCCCTCCGGGGACCTTCGGAGACTCACCTCCCATGCCGCCGTCGGAGTCGCCGTCAACGACGACGTCGGCACCGACATCGTCGTCGAGGTCGGGATGGTCGTGCAGGTCCTGGGCCGTCCGATGCCTTCAGTCTCTCGCCGATGGCCTCGCCGACGCTCATATCCATGTGTCCACTGCGCCTCCTGGGCGCCGCCTCCCAGAACAAGAAGGAACCAAGACGCAGTGGCTATGGATACACATCTTGCCCTCGGGGGGCCAAATGACGCCTCCTCCTCCTCCCTCCTCCTTCGTCCCTCCTCCTCCTCCTCCTCCTCCTCCTCCTCCTCCTCCTCCTCCTCCTCCTCCTCCTCCTCATCCCCCTCCTCCCCATCCTCCTCCTCCTCCTCCGCCTCCTCCGCCTCCTCCGCCTCCTCCTCGTTCTCTTTCTCTTCCTCCTCCTCATCCTCCTCCTCCTCCTCCTCTTCCTCCTCCTCCTCCTCCTCCTCCTCCTCCTCCTCCTCCTCCTCCTGCTCCCCCTCTCCTCCTCCTCCTCCTCCTCCTCCTCCTCCTCCTCCTCCTCCTCCTCCTCCTCCTCCTTCTCCTCCTCCTCCTCCTCCTCCTCCTCCTCCCCCTCTGTCTCCTCCTGCTCTTCCTCCTCCTCCTACTCCTACTCCTCCTCCTCCTCCGTGCCGGGGCGGCCGGCAGAGGCCCGGGACGAGCCCTCGAGAAAAGCACGAGCAGCGCACAGGCAAGTGCAAAGCCTTCGCCTCCCGACGTTGTCGGTCGGGTCGACTGGAGGGCAGCACCGACGGGGGGGGGAGGCCTCCTCCTCTCTCCCCCTCCTCCTCCTCCTCCTCCTCCTCCTCCTCCTCCTCCTCCTCCTCCTCCTCCTCCTCCTCCTCCTCCTCCTCCTCCTCCTCTCCTCCTCCTCCTCCTCCTCTCCTCCTCTCTCACTCTTCCTCTCTGGTGCGACGGGGTTACGAAATCTGCTGCATGCAGCTGGTTTCGGCCCCTCCGCCGGGCCCATGCCTCGATGCATGGGCGCCTCCCGGCGCTGGGAGGCGCCGGGAACATCAGCCACGTGAGCTGCTTCTGACCCCCCCCCTTTGCTTTCCCCCCTTTTCGCCCGGCCCGAGATGCGCGAGCGAGTGTTGGGGAGATCTGCGGGCCGAGGCTGCTCCACGCTCCCAGCTTTGAATCGGGCCTGTCCCTCTACGGGAAGAGCACAAGAAATATCTAAACATAGTATGGGGACGATTTGGGGGTATTTTTTATTAGGTTTTAATGTTTCGTCCAAAATCCCCTTGTAGCAGGACGCGCCCGACTTACTCCTAGCTCCTGGCTCGCCGCGGCCAAGTGGAGGGCCTGCCCAGCGCGAGAGCGGCCCCCCCCGGGGCGCGCAGGAGCGCCAGGCCGACCCGCACTCCCACGCGGTCATCCTGGACCCCGTCTTCGGTGGCCGGGGGGGGGGCGGGCGCCGGCACTGGAGAGGAGGAACAAGGCACTGGAGAGGAGGAAATCGAAGTTCAATTTATGGGAGAAAGGGGCCTCGTTCTTTATTTAGGGTTCCTAAGGTCAACGCCCCCACTGTATTGTCTCTGAGATCGGTGCCTGCATTGAAGGGGGGGGGGGTCTCAGCGGATGCGATGGGCTAAAGTATTGAGCTGGCTTCGGTGGGCGACCAGGCTCATGTATTCCCAGGTCTAGGTTCCGGCTCAGGCGGCGGATTGATCTCGGTGGGCAGCCAGGTTCCCTCGGGGGTGGACAGAACCCCCAACAGTGACACGTCGATTCGTGAGTTGTCCGTTTTCGGTTCTCGAGAGGGCGCCGTGGCCGTCATTTTCCAGGCTTGCGCCCGCCAGCTTTGGGCCTCAGGTCGTTTTCACTAAACCACGTTTTACTAAAGGGCGGTCTGTCCATCCCCGATATTACCCTTCCCTCGTTTCTCCAATTTTTTCTGGGCGTAGCCCGAATTCGTTCCTCGCGAGATTAACTTAACTGAACTGAACTGACTCGTCGCACCCGTTACGCGGCGGTTGTATGCTCGGCTTCCAGGGGCGCAGCCTATAGCACAATTGGTGGGAGACGGCTTGATTCTCGGTCACCGAGCGCGCAACTTGCGGCGCTACCAGTACGAGACGGTTTTTATTTCTCGGCCGCCATGGGCGCAACAGATGGCGCAACCGATAGGTTTATGATGTTCTAACCTACTTTAGCCCTGGCCACCAGAAAGAATTTCGAGCATCAAGAAAGTACTGAAAGTGTGGGGGTTTTCAAGTGTCGGGCCCTGGGAGGCTATATTCATTCGACACTGCGTCGATACTTTTCTGGATGCTCGGAATTGTTTCTGGGATGTGGTCCTTAAGTACGATAGGAGTAACATAACGATAGGAAGTGGTTTTATTCTCGGCCGCCGAGGGCGCAACCCATGGCGCTACCTGGGCGCCAGGAGAAGGAGGATGAGCAGGAGGAGGAAGAGGAGAAACGAGGACGAGGTCTTAGACGAGGACGAGGAGGAACTGGAGCAGGAGGAAGAAGAGGAGGACGAGGAGGGGGACGACGACGACGATCAGGATGGGGAGGATGACGGGGAGGAATACGAGTAGTACGAGGACGAAGCGTGGGCATTCGAATGCGTGCGGGGCTACGCCCGATGTATGCTCGCCGTGTGGGCTGGCGGTGGGGCCCAAGCGGCGAGCTGTCTTGTGATTGGGGGCCTTCTGGGCGTCTCGCTTCACCACCGCTGGATTCGCCTCGAAAAATCCTGGTCAGAACGCGCCCCAGGCTTGGCATCGCTCGGACGTGTGCATTTTTCCTTCGGCGAGGACCATCGAGGAGCATCCTTGACCACTTGGCAGACAACAACAAAGAACGAGACCGAAACAAACACAGGGAATGGACGTCCGAGCGATGGCGAGCAGGAGAGCTCCGGGATGAGCGGCATCGGTGCCTCTTGTCAAGGGAAGAAAAGCCACCCGGACCGGAGAATTGGCGTTTACTAAACGGCCTTGGGCGTGTACTAAACAGCCCTGCCCTGTTCGATTCCTTCTTTGGGCGTGTTTACTAAAGGCCTCGCGTGTCGGGGTGGTTATTATCGGGGTGGATTTTCTGCCCTCTATCTTGGTGTCCCCAGGCAGCGAGATCGGCCACGCGCAGAGGTGTGTGCGGGGGAGGGGGGGAGGCTTCTGAGCAGGAGGCCGCCTCTCAGACGGCGCGGGGCTCGTCTGCAGGCGGAGGGCCGGCGCTCTCTGAGAAGCGGCCTCCTTCTAAGAAGTGTTCCCCCCCTTCCCCATACACCTTAGGCGATGCTTAAGAAAACCCAAGTTTTCGGCCAGAGTCTCGATTATTCTTAACGTTTCAATGTAAATCCTAAGATTTAAATAAAAATGTTGGGTTTTTATTCAAATCCTGAGACTCTGAGTTTCTTAACCCATGATTTCTTAAGCATCTCGCAGGGTGCACCATTGTGGAAGTCGATTCATGGAGAGGAAGCATGCTGCCAACCAATTTCCATGTGGCTAGACGGTGTCTCAAGTATCTTTCAAACATGGGAAGCATGTCTGAAAGATTTGAAGAGCAGGTTTGTACACATGTTAAACGCATCTCTAATTCAATGATAGGATTGTTAGATTATAGAGTGTCCGATGTCATGGCATCCACGACCATACCACCCTCTGCGCGCCGCCAATGAGATCCTTCGAACATAGTCAACACCGCGAACTTCGAGCGGGCTGGGTGTCTGAGGTGGCCCCAGCACTGGGTGTGGCCCGCCAGCAGGGGCGGGCAGGCTCGAGGTTACGGATAGGGCTCCCACGAGGGCGCGAAGTTATTCGCGCTTCGCGGTCCTCGTTCTTTCTCCCCCCTCCTCCTCGTCCTCCTTTTCTCCCTTTGGGGGGGCGGCGCGAGGGCGCGAAGTTATTCGCGCTTCGCGGAGCGCGAAGCGCGAAGTTGGGAGCCCTAGGGATTCGGGCGTGGTTTTTGATGCTGTGCCTCCTTCGACCACCCGGGGCCGCTTGGGGGCCCCGGGATGGTCGGACACGGATCCGGGGTGAAAAGTTGCGGCAGGCGGAGCCTGGGAGGAATCCGGGTGCCGATTCTGAGCGGATTTTGCCTATTCCCTCCTTCCTGGCAGCTGTTCGTGGGCCCCAACAGACAGACCTCCTTCCTTCCTTCCTTCCTTCCTTCCTAATGATTCCTGTTCCTGTTCCTGTTCCTGTTCCTATTCCTATTCCTATTCCTATTCTTTCTTCGGCCCCAACAGACGATTTCCTATTCCTTCCTTTCCTCCTTCCTGACAGACCCTTGGGGTCTGAACTGGTTGGGGCCGGATGGTTGGAAGAGGCACGGGGGGGTCCCCCCCGGTGCCGCCTCCAACCATCGCGCGGATCTTTTGGAGCGGCGTTGGGGCATCCCGGCGGCGCCTCTGGCTCCGCCCCCGGCATTCTTCGCGCGCCAGGAAGGGGGGGGGGGGTCCAGCGCCGCCCCGTGAAAGCTTCGCGCTGTTCGGAGCGTTCAGCCGATGCGTGGTGAGGTAGTCTGAGGACATGGACGCGCTTGGTCTCCATGGGGCCCACAGATACCCACATCCACTGCCCACTGGGTTCGCGGGGAAGAAGTTCCCAAAGTGATGGATTTGTGCGAATTCTTGCCTCACACAGTCAACCCGCATCATGAGGGTGGGCAACCTTCCTGAGGGTACTCTTGCATCCTTGCCTCCTCGGTCTATCCTTGGCCACCTTCGCTTGCCGCGCCCCGCTCGAAGAGCTTCTTGCATCTCCATCGTGCATCGGTGTGCTACAGGTGCCCTTGGCCGCTTGGGGCGATGTGGTAACTCCGCTAAGTGGGCTGCGCCCACTTGGGCCACTCAGGGCATTAGCAACCCGCTTGTACACCTTAGGCGATGCTTAAGAAAACTGAAGTTTTCGGCCAGAGTCTCGATTATTCTTAACGTTTCAATGTAAATCTTATGAGTTTAATAGTAGTTCTGGGTTTTTGTTCAAGTTCTGAGACTATGAATTTCTTAACCCATGAGTTCTTAAGCATTTCGCAGGGTGTAAGCTAGGTTAGGCAAGATGGCAGTGACCCACCTTAGCATCCACTCGTAGCCCCCTAACATCCGGCACCCTCCACGGCAGTCCAGGCAGGGGCCACCAGGGTGCTGCGCCTGGGAGGCGCGGCGGAGAAAGATCTGAACAGGTTAAGCGCGTGTGCCCGTACGGTCGGGGCGCTGAAGAAGGAGCCCTTTTCGTTGGGGAGGGGCTCGGTGTTCCTCAATTGTTTTGCAGTTCGCCTCTGGTTTTCCGTAGGTTTTCGATGGGAAATCGAAGTTCAATTTATGGGAGAAAGGGGCCTCGTTCCTTATTTAGGGTTCCTAAGGTCAACGCCCCCACTGTATTGTCTCTGAGATCGGTGCCTGCATTGAAGGGGGGGTCTCGGCGGATGCGATGGGCTAAAGTATTGAGCTGGCTTCGGTGGGCGACCAGGCTCCTGGATTCCCAGGTCTAGGTTCTGGCTCAGGCGGCGGATTGATCTCGGTGGGCAGCCAGGTTCCTTCGGGGGTGGACAGAAGCCCCAACAGTGACACGTCGATTAGTGAATTGTCCGTTTTCGGTTCTCGTGAGGGCGCCGCGGCCGTTATTTTCCAGGCTTGCGCCCGCCAGGTTTGGGACTCAGGTCGTTTTCACTAAACCACGTTTTACTAAAGGGGGGTCTGTCCATCCCCGATTCCCGGTTCCCGGTTCCAGGCTGATTCCATTTCGGTGGTAGGCCAGGTTCCAGGTCCGGATATCTCGGCATTACAGTAGGGAGCAGAGTTGAGAGTAGAGCGTGCATGTGTGAGACTAGAGAGCAGAGTTGAGGAGCAGAGTTGAGAGTAGAGCGTGCATGTGTGAGACTAGAGAGCAGAGTTGAGGAGACAGAACAGAGAGCAATGACGAGCTGAGAGGGTGGATTCAATGTACAAGCAGAGTAGTAACAGAGAGACCGAGAGAGGGAGAGTTATAGAGATAGGGGGATGTTGCACGTGTGAGCGCAGTCATATAGCAGCGAGATTGTGTCTATACAGTACACCACCATACATGTGTATAAGATATGTTTGTCGAGACCAGAGAGTATAGATATAACGAACTTGATACAATGAGAGGGAGGGACAGCTTACAGGCATTACCACATATGTGTATGTACATATGCGTGTGCATACACGATCCACAGCAGTAGGTCCGATAATTTTCACGGCGGACAGGCTTCGAGTACATGCGGATGTGGGTTTCTGTGGTTTTGTTTGGGCGAATGCGGCGCTGCTCCTGCGTTTCCTCGACTCCTGTCCCCCACCAGCCCTCGTCCTCTCCGCCGTCTCCCCTGCCCTTCTCCCTCTTAGCTCTCTCCCTCTCGTTTCCTCCCCTTCGCCCCCTCTCGGCGGCCAGCGAGGGGGAGAAGTAAGAAGGATAAGGCCTTCTCAGAAGGCTCGGAAATTCCCCGGCCTTCTGAGACGTGTTCTTGGCCGGCTTTCTTCTTCTCGTTTCCTCCCCTCGCTCGCCGCCGATCCTGTCCTCCCCTTCCCTCCCTTCCCCCCTCCTCTCCCTCCCTGTGTCCCTCCCCTTCCCTCCCCTTCTCCGCTCCCCTCCATGGGCGTCCTCCTCGACAGCGGGGGGGGGGCGCGGTGCGGGAGGCGAGGCGGCCGGCTGTAGGAGGAGGCTGGAGAGGGAGAGGAAGGTGGGAGGAGGAGGAGGAGGAGGAGGAGGAGAAGGAGGAGGAAAAGGAGGAGGAGGAGGAGCGAGGAGGAGGAGGAGGAGGGAGAAGGAGGAGGAGGGAGGCGGAGGAGGAGGAGGAGGGAGGAGGAGGGATTGGGAGGAGGAGGAGTATTTTTGTTCAGCCCCCTGGCCCTCGTCATCGTCGGCATTGCATATTGTTCTTGTTCGGTCCCCGAGGAGGAGGGAGGGAGAAGGGCTGGTACCCTGGATCGGCGTCGAGCGAGAGGGGGAGGTGAGAAGGAGGAGTTCTTCTCAGATGGCAGCGGGGCTTCTCAGAGGCCATCTGGCCTTCTGAGAAGTTCTCCGTGTCCTCGGGGAGGGCCTAGAACATTTCTCGGAAGACCGGAGGATGTCCGAGCTTTCTGACAAGGCCTGCCCCACTCAGACTGTCTTCCTAGGCTCGCCGCCGAGTGGAGAGGGGACGCCAGGATTGTGGATGCCATGGCAATGAACACTCCTAACAATCCTGTCATTGAGTGGACGATGTGTCCAACATGTGTAAAGCATGTTCTACAAAAGCTTCGAACCTGTGTTTTACATATTCAAATTATGCTTGAAACATCTCGTAGACATCTGGGAATGATTTGGCAGCATGCTTCCTCTCCATAAATCGACTTCCACAACGCTAGGAGCGGGACTTGGCATCGCTCGGACGTGTGCATTTTTCCTTCGGCGAGGACCATCGAGGAGCATCCTTGATCATTTGGCAAGAAAAACCACGCACGACACTGAAACATGCACACGGAATTGACGTCCGAGCGATAGCCGGGGGAAGGGGCGGGGTGCGGGGCGTGCGTGCTTGTGTGGCGGTGGGGGGGGGGGGCGCGCGGGCTCCACCGGCGGTGGCGCCCGCATCGCTCGGAGGGGCGGAGGGCGCCCGGAGTCGACGAGCAGACGGCGGCATGCAGCGGAGACCCACGCCGAGAAGCACCCTGCCTGCCCCCAGGGTCTTGGCATCGCTCGGGCGTGTGCAGTGCTTCGCGGCAGGGACCGTCGAGGAGCATTCTGCGCCATCTCACGAAGAGAAAAAAGAGACACGCACAGGACCGGGCAGTGCACGGGGGATGGACGTCCGAGCGATTGCGAGGGGTCCTCCTCCTCCTCCTCCTCCTCCTCCTCCTCCTCCTCCTCCTCCTCCTCCTCCTCCTCCTCCTCCTCCCCCCTCCCCCCTCCCTCCTCCTCCTCCTCCTCCTCCTCCTCCTCCTCCTCCTGCTCCTCCTCCTCCTCCTCCTCCTCCTCCTCCTCCTCCTCCTGCCCTGGGTTTCTTGGGTTTCGATGGTTTTGCTACTGCACAGTGCGACCTCCCCACACCAGACATCGGTGGGCGCCCTGGGGCGTCGGGGTTGGGCCTCTTGTCGCGGGCTTCTCTGTTGTCGAGCTCCTACTGCAGCCACAGAGCTCTTGGAGGTGCGCGCGGGAGGTCTCCGACCGGCGCCCGCCGTGCCCCCCCCCCGGCGGCGCCCCTGGCGTCGACCCTCTGTCAGGAGGGGAGAAAAAAACACAAACACAATGAATCCTCGATTCCCCAGAATAATATGGGGAAATATATGGGAAGTGGGGGGGAAGACAAAAACCCAGAACATATGGGAAAATAGGGGGAATCTTCTTTATTTGTGTGCATTTATTTGTGTGTCCCAGGGCCCCTTTCACCCTCCCCCCTCACCCACCCACCTGGCATCGCTGGGACGTGTGCATTTTTCCTTCGGCGAGGACCATCGAGGAGCATCCTCGATCATTGGGCGAAAAAGCCACGCACGAAGCCGCAAAAGCACAGGGGATGGGCGTCCGAGCGAGGGCCAGCCCGTGGAGTAGACCTTGGCTGTTTTTGGCGCCTGTGTCCAGCAGCTGGAGTCTCCCCCACAGGACGCACTGCCGCAGACAGTCGCACTGAGCAGAGGTCCGGAGCCAGACACCGTCCCCTCCCCCCCCTTTCCGCCCACTGTCGAAACGCCGAATAAGAAAACGTTCACACGTGCACGTGCGTACAGCTGTTTTTCCCCCTACCCGTCGGTCGTTGAAGCTATGTATTTTCTGGATGCCCAGTGCGCCCTCATGCTTTAGAAGAGTCGCATGGTGTTCCCTCTTCCCTCCTCTTCGGGGGGCGGGCGTCAGCCCAATCTACTTTCAGTGCCTTCCTAGCAACTTCAGGTTTCTACCTACTTCTTCCGACCGACGGGTACAGTGGAAACCCATGCCAAGAAATACCCTGCTCGCCTCCAGGGTGCCCTGGGTTTCTTGGGTTTCGATGGTTCTGCGATTGCAAGCGTGACCTTCCCACACCAAAATCAATGGACGCCCTGGGGTCCCGAGGGGGAAGGTTTCTTGCGGAAGGTTTCTTGTGATCGATTTCTTCATGCTTTTTTTTTCCAGCGTTTTTGTCGTCTGCTTCCTGTTTCTACCTGCTTCTTCCGACCGGCGGATGTTCGTGGGGAGTGGCGGAGAGCGCCTGGAGGCAAGATCGCGTACGTCCCAGACTTGGGCATGGACCTGATCCGCCAGTGCTCCGCGCTCCCCTCTCCCAGCACTGCCGCCTGCACGCGGAGGGCCATGCTTCAGGAGGGGAAAAAACACACAGACACAATTATTCGCCGACTCCCCAGAAAATATGGGAATTGGGCGGGAAGACAAAAATCCAGAAAATATAGGAAAATATGGGGAATAATTTTATTTGTGTGTATTTATTTGTGTGTCCCAGGGCCCCCCTTCAATGCTGTCGCACGACGTCTTCACGAACAAACTGCCTATAGCACCAATGACACGTTTTGATGAGTCGGCGAGCCCAGGGAGGGAGTGAGAAGGAGAAGGCCTTCTCGGAAGGCTCAGAAGGCCCCCCTGCCCTCTGAGGAGTGTTCGAAGCCGTCCCCGAAGGCACAGACATCTTCTCGGAAGGCGCGAGGGCTTGGGAGAAGCTCCGCTGCCTTCTCAGAGGGCCTTCTCCTTCTTGCTTCCCCCCCTCGCTCGCCGCCGATATAATAGCACCGATGACATTCGTTGATCGCACCAAGCAGGTTGTTGAAAGCATCGAGGAATGTGTAGTTTCATGCTTCGGCGGAGCTGATAAAGATCCACAATCACCAATAAAATCAAACAATGCAAGCCGACTCGTTCATAGCTCAAAGTGATGGCCCAATCCGCGCGAGCTTCCGCAGCGCGAGGCGCGCGGCGACGAGGAAGGAGGGGGAGCCTTGGGCCCCCTGATGCCCCCCCCTCCTTCCTATCCCTCTTGTATCTACTGATCAGAGAAGGAAGAGATACCGACACCGCCCTCGCCGCCACGGCTCGATTCTCGAAATTCTGGTCAATATGCACCCTGGGAGAGGTTGCGGGGAGCAGCGGTACCAGTACTTTCCCCTGAGCAGTGTTTGCACCTGGGGTTCTTCCTTCCGATCCAGGGAACTGTGCCGTGCCTCTGGGTCTGGCGGCTATGTGGCCGCCCTCGCCTCCCCGTCGCCGCTTCGTCGCCGCCCGTCGTCTTCGGTCTGGCGGCCATGTGGCCACCGTCGCCGCCCCCTCGCCGCCTCGTCGCCGCCCGTCGTCTGGGCCGTCGTATTCGGTCTGGCGGCTACGTGGCCGCCGCCGCCGCCCCGTCGCCGCTTCGACGCCGCTCGTCGTCAGGGCCGTGTCTTCGGCCTGGCGGCTGCGTGGCCCCGTCGCTTCCCGTACGCCGCCGGTCGCCGCGCTTGTTGCCGCCGTCGCCGCCCCGTCGCCGCCCCACATGTGTTGCACAACATGGATTGATTGCACAAAATTGCACCAGAGTGAAACCCCAATCAGTGGATGGTCTGAAATGGGATCGATGAAGAGATCGATAAGGAGATCGACCGGGGACCCGGGAACCCGGAACCTACCGAAATCGGACAGGAACCAATGACCAGGAACCCGGGAAACCAGAACCAGGAATTTTGGAACCCAGTTGGCCACCTAAATCGGCGGCAAATTTTCGCCAAATTTTTCAGTTTCCGCTTGGACCCCTTCAGTGCAAGCACTGGTTGGGGAACATATTGGACAACATAGATTTCACCACGTATATTGCACCATATATATATATATATATATATATATATATTGCGCACATGCTTATATATATATATATGTATATATATATATATATTCCGCACAAGTTAGATCGCACGCCACAGTGCACCACGGTGGTTGCACCACATCGGCTGCACCGCACACATTGCACCACGTAGATTGCACAACCGATATCACACTCCCGATAAAGCACAGCGTAGATTCAACCACGTATTTTCACCACATGTGTTGCTCCACATAGGTTGCACAACATATATGGCACCTCAGAGATTTCAACACTTCTACTACACAGCGTAGGTTGTACAACCTAGATTGCCCAACAGATGTTGCACAACATTGAGTGCGCCGCAGAGGTTGCTCCACATGTTTCACACCGCGTATTGTTCGAACACGGGCTGCTTTGGGTCCACGCTGGCTATCTTCTGTGCTTGCCCATCTAAATATTCATGAGCAGCGGACTCTACAAAGCCCTTCCTCCTCATCCATCCTCCCTCCTGCGCCCATCCCCGTTCCCCCCAGTTGCAGTGGGGGGTGGAAGAGGGAACGAGGAGGAAGGGCAAGGGAGGGACGGAGAGGAGAGTTGGGACCATCAGATGGATCATCGGCAGGCCCGTTGCCCACAGGGGTGGGGGAGCTGGGGTCGAGGTGGCGAGGGGGCAATCATGCACGAGGGAGGGGGGGGGGGGAAGCGCAGAATGGAGGAGGGATGGCTAAGCTTCAGGATGCATATTCGATGAGGGAAACATGCGGAGGAGCAGGTGGAGGAGGATCAGGAGTAGGAGGATCTGGGATGATGAGGGAGGAGGAGGAGGAGGAGGAGGAGGAGGAGGAGGAGGAGGAGGAGGAGGAGGAGGAGGAGGAGGAGGAGGAGGAGGAGGAGGAGGAGGCGGCGGAAGGGATAGTAGCAGATACTTCTAAGCTACACTCACAGCACAGGGTCTCGACGAGCATCTTGAGGATCTTCCAAGGTCAGGTCACGCGTCGTCGCATAATGGCCCACAGTGCTGTGCAAGACCGTAGGGTTTGTGATGTCTAAGTCTGAGCAGCGCCTGGACACACGTGCAACGAAGCGCGGTCTCTGTTGATGTGTGTGTGTGTGTGTGTGTGCGTGTGCACGTTCACACTTGCTTACGTGATCCGATGACTGCCATCATCAGCGCGTCTGAGTTCAAGAACTATGTGTGTGTGGGTGCGTCCGCCCACTGGAGCAGGCGAGGCGTCCCGCGAGGTGACCCCGGTGTGCTTGTGCATTGAAGTTCTCGCGTCTGGCGTTCCACTGTGCGTCGAAATTGCATGTTCCGCGCGGTGTACGTGAGTTGTCTGCAATCGCCGAACGCACTCGTTTAACCAGCTGCTCGCGATAAGAACCCCCCGAGGATAAGAAAGCTCGAGGTCCAGGCGGGACAGTAAACGATTTCCCGGAGATCTCAGCATAATGATGATGATGGTGATGATCCAGATGATCCCAAACGTCCATGAGAGTAATGACACATCCAGAGGAGTCCTTCGGAAATCCATAGGAATCCGATGGAAATCCATAGGACTCTTTCGGATATCCATCGGATTCCTTAGAAATTCCATCGGAAATCCATTGGATCCCCAAGGACATCCATAAGATTTCTGAGGAAATCCATTGGAATCCTTAGGAGTCCTTGCTACTCAACATAAAAATAGAACAACTTCGATTCGCAGCTTTCTCACGCGATTAAAAAGTTCTGCCTTGCCGCTTCTCTTCCCTGACCAAAATTGTATTGACCCGGAATAATCAACACTCGGTACGAAAGGGGGGAGTTAATTCATTCTCCGGGGCTGTCGGTTATTTAGACGTGTTTGGTTCAATGGCCCTTGTTGTCTTCACCGTCCCGGCTCCCGAACCACGCATGTCTTTCACATGCGGATATTTACAGTGCAAGTGTGTATCCAGTCGGCTTGAGGTGCGACGTGATCGTAAGATTTGATTCGGGTAGTGATGTGCCACCAGCGTAGTATAACATCCAGTGGCTATCTTGGGTCTGGCTGGGCAGCGGCAGCAGCGGTGTCTCTGGGAAGTGATCTGCGAACGCCCGCCCTCGTGGCTGGAGGCGCCACGCCGCGGCGCGAGCATGCAGCCAGCACTGCCCTCCACGGGATTTGCTCTCTGAGATTGCCGCGCAGGTTCAAGTACGACAAGGCGGCTGCCCCCGCGTCCGCTGTGCTCCGCCTTCCTCGCCGCCCGTTCGGCACAGCGTGCGTGGCTCGAGAGGCCACTCGGCACGCACAGAAGCTCTCGGAGGTCCGCACGGGGTGTCTCGGATCGGTGCTGGGCCGCTCCCTCCCTGGCTGGCGCGCCGCAGACATCCGCCCGGAGCGCCGGAAGTGTACGTTTGGGCAGCGGTTTCCTCTTGCAGCCAGGGCGCGGAAGAAGGAACCCTGGTCCTTGGGGAGGGGCTCCCCGCGTTCCGTACACTGCTTCACGGTTTGCCTCAGGTGCTCCTCAGGTTTCGGTGGGAAACCGAAGTCTAACCTGTGAAAGAAAGGGGCCTCGTTCCTTATTTATCGGGGGTGGACAGAACCCCCAACAGTGACACGTCGATTAGTGAATTGTCCGTTTTCGGTGTTCGAGAGGGCGCCGTGGCCGTTATTTTCCAGGTTTGCGCCCGCCAGGTTTGGGCCTCAGGTCGTTTTCACTAAACCACGTTTTGCTAAAGGGCGGTCTGTCCATCCCCGAATTTAGGGTTCCGAGAAGCGCGCTTCCCGCCGTAGCCGAGAAGCGCGCTTCCCGCCCAAGAGCTGGCCTCTTCTCGGCCGGCCGCGCTCCGGCATGCCCTCTCCCCCGCTCTCTCTCTCTCTCTCTCTCGGGCGTCGAGTGCTTGGCATCGCCAGGACGTGTACATGTTTCGCTTGGCGAGAACCATCGAGGACCATCCTCACCACCCACCAAACCACCCCAAGCCAACCCGAAGGCCTCGATTTGCCCTCCATTCCCAGTGGGGGGGGGGTCGGGGAGCGCTGAAACAACACCTGGAACCCGTACCCCCCCCACCCCGAAATTCGGCTCAAATTCGGGCCTTCGGGTCGGGTTGGGGTCTTCTGGTAGGTAGGCACATCCTGGACCATCGAGCCAAGCGCAACAGCACGCACGAGACCTAAACATGCACGGGAAGCGGACGTCCGAGCGACGGCGAGGATGGTGGTGAGCGCATCGGAAGCGAAGAGGCGAGAAAGCAAGCCTGTTCCTTTCAGGAGGGGAAGAAACACACAGACACAATTAATCGTCGACCCCCAGGAAAATATGGGAAAATATGGGAAGTGGTGGGGAAGACAAAAACCCAGAAAATATGGGAAAATATGGGGGATATTTTTATTTGTGTGTATTTATTTGTGTGTCCCAGTTCCCCTTCAAAAACAGACACATCATGGGCAGAAACGCGTGGCGTTCCGCGCGGCCGGGGCGCGGGGCCCGGCGCAGATTTGAGAAAATCCGCGCGGAGCGCCAAAAGTGTACACCTTAGGCGATGCTTAAGAAAACTTAAATTTTCGGCCAGAGTCTCGATTATTCTTAATGTTTCAATGTAAATCCTAAGATTTGAATGGAAACTTTAGGTTTTTATTCAAGTTCTGAGACTATGAATTTCTTAACCCATGATTTCTTAAGCATTTCGCAGGGTGTACAGTCAAAGACCCTAATTTGGACGCGCGACTTTGCGCTCAGGGTACCCTTTGCGTCCTTGCTCTTCCTTGCTCTTGCGTCCTTGAGGTGTTCGTCGTCCGCCGCCCCCAAAAATCCCAGCTTCGGCCTCCAAGGGTCTTGCGTCCCTACCTCGGGTCCTTATTAGGGTTTTTGACTGTGTGGTCATGGCGTTTGTTTCACTCTCTAGAGAAAGCAGTCATCCCTGTTCCATGGAAGTGTGAAGAAGTTGGGCCTCTCGATGGGGTCCTGACAGGGGCTCCGAGAGCACTTGGAACCGTCTTGTGGCCCTCGTCGGGCCTCTTGGAAGCATGTCGGAAGCTAGATTGAACCATCTTCCGCTACCTTGAGCCGTTTCGGAGCCCATTTTGGAGCAGCGGAAACCCTTTTTGGAGCCATCAGGGGCGATCTAACCTCTCGCGGCCCCACCGAACAAACCGTGGGATTGTATGGGGAAGGGTATCTCTCCCTGTATGGAAGAGGCTTTTGGAAGAGGAGAGACGAATCGTTAGTACTTTCCAGACCTGCGCAAAGGGATCCGAGTAGGTGTGGTCGGGGGATCGCGCCGCATCGCCGATGCATCGGCGAGGTGGCGCGATGTTGGGCCCGATTATTTCCACGCCGTCGTCGCCGATGCATCACCAGCATCGCCGATGCATCGACGACGTATCAGCGATGCGGCGCGATTCTCCGACCCCTATCTAACCGGACTCCATCTTGGAGGCCTCTACACCCAGGTACGCAATGTTAGTTGTTTTGTCAAAGCTCGGTCCCCAGAAGACGACCCATTCCCGGGGCCTTCTGCTGTATCCCGAGTTCGTTTTTGTCGGTACCGAGGCCTGGCGAGGGCAACGGGATGCCGAAAGTGGCCCAGATTTTCCCGCAGCATGTCTCGGAACACGTTGACGGATACCATTGACGGCAGCGTCATCATGGATTCTTTTCTTCGGGGGCGGCCAAGAGGGAGCTGATGATAGGGGGTTGGGCATTCTGGCCACGGCCATGAAATCTCCGCGAATAGCATGGCTTCCTCTCCTTCTTTCAGTACGTCCCTTGGTCTCCTTTCTTGGGATGCAACTCCTGGTAGGTCAGATTCTGATGTTGCTCTGGTCCGAAGTCCAGCTCAATCTGGCTCAATCCCGCGCAATCCTGCTTAGTCCGGCTCAGTCCCGCCTAATCCGAGGCCCACACGGGCGCAATAGCTCCCAAATGGGGCCTAGTCCTCCTTAACCTTTCCGAAGAGAACCTCCCAGCAGTTGCCTCCTAACTGTTCGTCCGCGCACACGCCTCGGGCCATGGGGCCATGGCCCCTCTTGGACGCCCTCCTCTCGGACGCCCCCGCCTCTCCCCCTGCACGCGGTGGCACGTGTCGCTGCGCTTGGGGCACGCTCCGCCTTTCGACGCTTGGGGCACGCGGTGGCACGTGTCGCTGCGCTTCCTTTCCTCGAGGTTGGTTTGGGCACGTTCTGGCCATGCACGAGTTTGCCTTTCTCCAGTTATCGCTGGTCATGTGGTCTCGTCGATGCAGGTTAAACATTCGTTCGAAAGTCGTAGGTAGTGTATCGACTGGGAAAACCGTTGGAGGTGGCCTGGCCTGTTTCTGTGGTTTGGACGTTCTCGTTTTGCCATCCTGCACGGCCTCGCAATTGTTCTTTCTTGTGGAGTGAGAGAACGTATACCACGTCAACTATGAGGGACTTGTGACGATATCCGTGTGCTCCGTCAGCTTTGTCTGGCTTGGTCTGCGCATTTGGTCGCGTCGCCCTTCTTAATGTTCGTGCTGCTTGTCGAGGTCACGGGGTTGCCCGCAGAGTGCTCGTTGAACACTGTTCCGCAGTCGTGTCGAGTCGGGATCCGAACCCTCCTCTCTGCTGCTCCTTCTCCTTCTCCTCCTTCCTCCCTCTCCCCTCTCAGGCGCCTTCTTGCTCCGCCACGCGCGAGCGGCAGCCGCTGTCGTCGCCGTCGCCACCTCCCGTCGTGCCGCTGCGGGCGTCCCGTCGTTTGTCGTGTGGTCGTCGCCGCCGCCGTCCCGGCCGCCGCCGTCGCCGCTGCTGCCTGTGGTTGCTTGTTTTTGTTCCCCAATCATCCTGTGGTGTTGGGTCCTCGTTTTGAAGAGACAGCGCCCCGCGTCCTCCCTCCTCCTCCTCCTCCCCTCCTCCCTCCTCCTCCTTCCTCCCCCTCCTCCTTGCGTTGCACCCACCCAGTACAACATGTCGTGGCCCCAAAGGGAGCCCCACCGAAAGTCCCAGTGCTGCCGTCCGCATGCGTCCCGCACACCCAGGACAGCGGTTCGTGGCCCTCCTCCCCCTCCTCCCTGCGTTCCACCCACCCCGTACAGCGCTTCGTGGCCCCATAGGGAGCTCCACCGAAGGCCCCAGTGCCGCCGTCCGCATGCGTCCGTACAGCGTTTCGTGGAACTCCTCTCCTTTTCCCTGCGTGTCACCCACCCATTACAGCGTTTCGTGGCCCCAAAGGGAGCCCCGCCGCAGGTCCCAGCGCTACCGTCCGCATGCGTCCCGCGCACCCAGTACAGCGCTTCGTGGCCCCATACGGAGCCCCACCGAAGGTCCCAGTGCTGCCGCCCGTATGCGTCCCCCCACTCAGTACAGCGTTTCGTGGCCCTCCTCTCCTTCCTCCCTGCGTTTCGCCCAACCAGTACAGCGCTTCGTGGCCCCATGGGGAGCCCCACCGAAGGTCCCAGTGCTGCAGTCCGCATGCGTCCCGCACACCCAGGACAGCGGTTCGTGGCCCTCCTCCCCCTGCTCCCTGCGTTTCACCCACCCAGTACACCGCTCCGTGGCCCCATAGGGAGCCTCACCGAAGGTCTCACTGCTGCCGCCCGCTTGCGTCCCGCATACCCATTACAGCGTTTCGTGGCCCCACGGGAGGCTCCACCGAAAACACCAGTGGGACCGTCCGCATGCGTCCCGAAACACCAAATTTTGCATTTTCGCCCACCCGGTACAGCGTCTCGTGGCCCCGTAGGGAACTCCACCGAAGGCCCCAGTGCCGCCATCCGCATACGTATCGAAAACACACTGTGGCATTTTCACCCACCCAATACAGCGTTTCGAGGCCCATATGGAGCCCCACGGAAGGCCCCAGTGGGACTGTCCGCAAGCGTTCCGAGCAACCCAATGTGGCATTTTCATTCACCCAGCACAGCGTTTCGTGGCCTTATAGGGAGCTCCACCGAAGGCTTCAGTGCCACCGTCCGCATGGGTCCCAAAAGCCGGAGGTGGCATTTGCACGCGCCCAGTACAGCGCTTCGTAGCTCCATAGGGAGCTCCACCGAAGCGCCCAGTGGGACCGTCCGCTTGCGTCCCCGAGACTTAATTTGGCATTTTCTCCCACCCAGTAAAGCGGTTCGTGGCCCCATAGGGAGCTCCACCGAAGGCCCCAGTACCACCGTCCGCATGCGTCCCCGAAACCCAATGTGGTATTTCCACACACCCACTAAAGTGCTTCGTGGCCCCATAGGAAGCTCCACCGAAGCGCCCAGT